GAGCAGGGAGGGGATGGGGTTGAAGGGGAGCTGAGGGAAGCGCAGGCCTGGGTTTGGGCTGGCCTGGTGCCAGCAAACTGCAGTGCTTTTCAGGATTGATTAGCATCTCATTTTTTTTTAAAAAAAAAAAAAGCGTTGCTGTTGTTTCCAGAGAGCGCTTGGAAAATTCCTCTCCGAAGCTCTGCACGGACCCGCAGAGAGCAGGGCCCTGAGTCCCACCTCATCTGCTTGGGACTCAGGATGGCATACTCCCGTTAGCAGAGGGCTGCCTAGGGCAAGAGGGGTCCCTGCTTGCGTGCCGTGGCTGCAAACTGGCACGGAGGCTGCGGAGTCGCTGGGGCAGAAGAGCGACGTGACGCTGGCTGGGGGGCTGCCCTTCCCCCGCTGGGAGCTGACTGGGCACGGGCTGTGGCAGCAGATCTGAATTCCTGTTCTTGCTTTTATGGTGCTCGTTTGGGATTTAAATTGCTTTTATTTGTATTTTTTTTCCGAGGGTGTTAACTTGCTGTTTCTGTCTCGTCCTTCCCAGATATCGATATGCCGGGAGTTGCCGAACGTCGAGGTGATCACGCTCAGGTGAATGTCAGGCTGCCAGCCTTGGAGAGGGCAGGGAAATCGCCTTTCTCCTGGGGCTGTGGCTTGGCCCTGGGTTTCTTAACCACCTTTCTGTGGTTGTGTGTCTGAGCTGCCTGGCTCTTTGTGCCCGATTTCCCAAGCAGCAGAGATGCAGAAATGATTGTTCTTCTGCTAGCTCCTCTGCACCTTTCCCTCTCGAGAAAATAATCCTGGTTTTGAGAGTGTTAAAACCTCTTCGGATTGTTGCTCCGTAAGTTCTAGTCCGTAGTTTGGACGGGATCTTCTGGGCCTCTGTATAGGGCTCGTTCGCACGATGCTTGTTGAAATGATTCTGACGTCTCACAAAGCTTTTTGATTCCGTAAGCCTCCCCGCTGTGCTCCCACCTGAAAGGTACGGAGGGAGGGATGGGCTTGGTGGTTTCTGATCCCACCATTCAAGGCCAGGTTGGATGAGGCCCTGAGCAACCTGATCTAGTTGGAGATATCCCTGTTCCTTGCAGGGGGGTTGGACTAGATGACCTTTGAAGGTCCCTTCCAGCCCTAACCATTCTATGATTCTATGATCTCTCTTCAGTTTGAACGGCATCTGGGACCTCGAGCCGCTGAATCGGTGCCAGAACCTGAGCGAACTCTATCTGAGGAAGAACAACATTACAAGCCTAAATGAGCTCTTCTACCTTAAAAACCTACCCCGGCTGAGGGTCCTGTGGCTCTCTGAAAATCCCTGCTGTGGATCGGACCCCCACCGCTACCGGATGACGGTGCTGCGGAACCTACCCAGCCTGCAGAAGCTTGATAACCAAGGTGGGTGTTGGCAGGTAAAGGAGGAGCCCCAGGCCACGGGCAGGGTGAACTGGAAAACAGTGACCTCTTGGTTCTTCTGGTTAAGGTGTCCTTTGACTCTTCCATGACATGGTGGTGGGAAGGCAGTGCTCAGCCAGGTAGGATCTCTTTGAGGGTGAGCATCCCCTCTGTGAGATCCACTGCTTCTAAGCTGTTTTCCCCCTTCCCTTCCCTGCAGGGCCAGAGTTAACGCTGGTGGGACTGAGAGCACCTCGTTACAGCTCAGACAGTACCACTAATTAGTGTTTTTTTAGAGCTCTCCTTTGCTGTAGCAAAACATTCTGTAATTGGTTCTGCTGTTGGAAAAAAAAATGAGAAGGTTTTTCTGTCTGGTAGCAGTAATTTGGTGGCTTTCGGAGCCTTCTCCAGAGACAAGAAATAGCAAAGTGTGTGTGCATCCCTCCCTGATTTTTTTCCCACTGGTTACAGCTGCCAGTGCTCTCCCGGGTGGGTTTTTCTGCAGGAGGAGGAGGAGGAGGAAAGCAAAAGGCCGGTACAAAGGCTGATTTTTGGACCAAACCGCTGCGGTGTAGCTCTGCAGTGGTGGTACCAGCCCTGTTACAGGTGCCGTCTTCCTGGGCTGCTGGAGTTCATCGCAGCAGCCTTTTGTTTTCATAGAATGGTTAGGGTTGGAAGGGACCTTAAAGATCATTGAGTTCCAACCCCCCTGCCATGGGCAGGGACACCCTCCACTACACCAGGGTGCCCAAAGCCTCATCCAACTTGGCCTTGAACACTTCCAGGGATGGGGCATCTACAACTTCTCTGGGCAACCTGTGCCAGTGCCTCACCACCCTCAATGTAAAAAATTTCTTCCTTATATCTAATCTAAATCTCCCCTCCTTCAGTTTAAATCCATTGCCCCTTGTCCTATCGCTACCCGCCCTTGTCCAAAGTCCCTCTCCAGCTTTCCTGTAGCCCCTTTAGGTACTGGAAGGCTGCAATAAGATCACCCCAGAGCCTTCTCTTCTCCAGGCTGAACAGCCCCAACTCTCTCAGCCTGTCTTCATAGCAGAGGTGCTCCAGCCCTCGGATCATCTTCGTGGCCTCCTCTGGACTCGTTCCAGTAGCTCCATGTCCTTCTTATGTTGGGGACTCCAGAGCTGAACACAGTATTCTAGGTGGGGTCTCACGAGAGCAGAGCAGAGGGGCAGAATCACTTCCCTTGACCTGCTGACCACAGCCACACTTCTTTTGATACGATTTGCTTTCTAGGCTGTCAGTGCACATTGCTGGCTCATGTCTTGGTTTTTGCAGCTGTGACAGAGGAAGAACTGTCCCAGGCCCTGGTTGATGGTGAGGAGATCACGGCCCCGCCAGCCGGGAGGAGCGTAGAGAACAGCTGCCCTGAGTCCACTGAATCCACAACGGAGACCGAGAGTGAACTGCTGAACTTCAGTCTGGAGGAGACAAAGTGAGGGCTTGCTTGTGAGGTGTTAGGATTTCTGGGCTGACCTCTGACATTCCGGGGGCCAGGCCTGCAGCTGGTGCAGATTCCTGTTGTTCCAGTTACCGTGGTGGAGCTGTGCTGCTTTAATAGCACTGGTGGGTCTGGTTCTGTATCTGCAAAACAGGCTCTTCCGTAGGTGGGGGCTGACTCTCAAACGTGTCAGCTGCATGTGCAGACAGAGGGATCCTCTCTGAAGTGGGAGCTCCAGTCCAGCCCTGCTTAGCTCTGCTGCTCCGACACGCTCGGGCGCACGTCGGTGCTGCGGCACGTGCTGTTGGAATGCGGCGTTACACCGTCTGCAGTCCCGGCTGGCATCAAACGTGGGAATCTGTCATCCCAGGTGGAGCTGGGAGCAGACTCCTTGTGGCAGCGTGCTCGTTTACGTTTTAGAGCAGTGAGGCTCCTGCTTGGGAGTTTTGGTGGGGGTGTTGTGGTCTGCAGGCAGAGGTGGTGTGCGAAGAGACGTGCCTTGAGTCCTTCAGCTGGATGCCTCCTGCCTGGTTGCCCATGATTGGAAAGGATTGGCCTGGCAGAGTAAGGTGGTGCCAGCTGGTCAGCGTAACATTTGCTCTTCCTCCCCTTCTTTAGCAGAATCCGAGAGGAGCTTGGTATGTGGCCGGTTCCTGGGGATAAATTTTCCTCCTTTTCACCTCGAGAGATGGACTGTAATCGGAAGAAGGGAGTGAGTATCTTTAAAGACCAAATTGCTTTTTGTCTTTAAGACGTCATGCAACGTAAAGAAAGCCCAACGGGGTTTGTCCTCTCCGTCTGTCTGCGCTGATGGGTCTTGGCTGTTCAGGGGAGAAACGCTGCCCGCTGGGCTCAGTGCCATCCCTTCGGTTGGCACGGGAAGGCCAGAGCGAGACCCAGACCGCGTTCTGCCTCACTCTGATGGGAATTACCTGGGATCTCTCTCTCGTTGATGTTCTAAGCACGCTTGAGTTTATTGCTTCGGAGCAGCGTGAGTGCTGCCTGGCCTTTGGGAAGAGAAAACGTTAAAGGAGGGGAAATGGCCATAGGTTGCAGCTGGGGAGGTTCAGGCTGGATGTGGGGAAAAAAAATTTCCCTAGAAGGACAGTTACTCATAGAGGCTGTGGAATCTCTCCCTGGAGTTTTTCAAGCTGTGGTTTGACAGAGCCGTGGTCTGGTGTTGGCAGTAGTCCTGCATCAGTGGGAGGCTGGGCTGGGGACCTTCAAGGGTTCCTTCCAGCTTGTGCTTTCACAGTTCTACCAGCTCTTCTTTCCCATCAGATCAGAGGGTTCCTGTCCTTTCCCATCCTACGTGCAGTCACGCTGGAGAGAGAGGGCGGCTGCTCTTGAATGCGCCTTTCCTTCCAGAAGCTGGTTGGGAGGGTGGCCGGGAGCCAGAGGGGCATGTGGGCAGTCTGGGCAGGGCTGGGCAGACGGGTTGGTCCTGAATTCCAGTTAGCCACATACAGTTCCTGCCCATGTTTGCCCCGAGGGCTTGGTTGATCTGTCGCTGTAGCTGCAAACCGCTGCTGGTGGTGGTGGAGTTCCTAGAAGGAGCAGTTCTGTGAAAATCAAATGTCCTTTTCTGGGCTGACGTTAACATGCTTGGAGCGAGTCCAGAGGAGGCCACAAAGATGATCCAAAGGCTGGAGCACCTATCCTATGAAGGCAGGCTGAGAGAGTTGAGGCTGTTCAGCCTGGAGAAGAGAAGGCTCTGGGGAGACCTTCCAGCAGCCTTCCAGTACCTAAAGGGGCTACAAGAAAGCTGGAGAGGGGCTTTGGACAAGAGCGTGTATGACAGGACACGGGGCAATGGCTTTGAGGAGATTTAGATTGGATCTAAGGAAGAAATTTTTCCCTCTGAGGGTGGTGAGGGACTGGCACACGGGTGCC